CCGAGGCAGAGCGGAGGGAGGAAGGCGGAGGAGGGAACACGAGCGGGCGGTGTGTCAATCAGCGGCGGAAATGCTGCGCACACGCTTCGGGTGTACACAACAAATGTCAAATTTGGTACCGGTTTGTCCGTGGACATGTCCGGTCCTCTCCCCAATTTCCATTTGTAAGGTCAAAACTGTTAGCACAATTTCCGTTCGAAACCGTTCCCGGATCCATTTTCATAGGATTTTTGATACACGACAACAATCCGATCTGAATTTGAGGCCGGCTAATAGGATATGGTATTACTAGTATACGACGCAGTACGATAATCCGTTTTTTCTAGCCAGATTGATAATCTAACCTTTAAATTTTGAATCAGAGTTATTATCCTGAGGGTGCTAATGTCATAAAACCCTTTATGCCATTCATTATCACCAAGATTATACTTCACAAGCATAACCAACTTCAAACTACATAATTGTTAATGAGTCATAAATTGTCCTGCCGACGACAACCTTGATGTGATCATATTCATTGTATCCACCTAACTTTACGGATATCTTTTTCATTATATGTCACAAACACCATATGGATCGAGATTCTGTAAGAAAAAAATCCACACCGTTATGAATTCCTTTTGCTTGGTCAGTTATGACTATCTTTTGGTTGATGATTTGACATACATGTAAGCCACGCTTGAAAGAACCAAAGAAATGTTTCAGTATGTTCATATGATAATAAAGCACATCCTAGCAACACTGATCGGCCATGATGATTGAGTTTGACAAAACAAACAAAAGGCTTATCATATCTGTTCATCAACTATGTTGTGTCAAAAGTAATGACATCATGAAAGAGTCATACACCGCTCTGCTTCTTGCATCAAGCCAAAAAGTTTGGAGTGTTGGATTGCATTTTGATAAAACATACACTAACCGCTTCATCATCACCACTGCCAAGTTTTAACCTTCTTGTTTTCTCTAGAAAATTGCAACAATTTTTCTCACCAAAAGTTACGTTCGCATGACCATCTGCTGCCACAACAAAAGAATTGAAATTCTTCTTTAGTCATATTTTGGCCCGATCATTCAGCTCAAGCCCTCACTTGACATGTAAATCCAACTCTTTGTGGTATGTGAACCGAGATTTATGTGAACTTTGTGTGTGATTATGATCCAAAATGACCGTCAAAATATAAAGTTTCCCATGAGGACCATGAGCAATGTTAATTTTAGCTACTTCTTTTATTTTGAGAAGATGTTAATTTTATCTTTACATCCTATATTGCCAATTGGATTTGGGCCTCAGCATATTACTTAAGTTGGACTGGGTCTTACCATAACACGAGTGGGAAAGTGTAAGGTACTTCCATTGTTCATCTTTCACTAGTAGAAAATAGGGCTTTGGTTCGGGCCTGGCCAGCTCATTAGTCCCGGTTCAGTCACGTACCGGGACCTATGGGGGCATACGTCCTGGTTCGTGAGCACAGGGGGCCGGCCGGGGCCTCGTGGGCATTGGTCCCGGTTCGTCTGGACCCATTTGTCCTGGTTCCTGGCACGAACCGGGACCAATGGGCCTCACTCCTGGCCCACATACATTGGTCCCGGTTCGTGGATAGAACCGGGACAGAAGATGGAGCTTTAGTCCCGGTTCCAGCCATGAACCGGGACAAATGAGCTGCCTATATATACCCCATCGCCGCAACAGAGCACTCCATAGTACTATGTTTTTTCTGGCCGGCAAGGGGAGGGCATTTGGGTGCTCTAGCTCACCTCCTATGCACATGAGGTGTTCGATGAAATGCCCGAGCCACACTAGTTAAGCTTTCTCCTCTCGAAACTCGAGCTCCAAGCTCCATTTTCCCTGAGATTTGCATAGGTTTAGCGGTCTATCACGTCCCGTCCCCATCTTCACCGCTGTCGATCGACTGCGCCGATCTCGTCGCCGGCACCACCGTGGTGAGCCTCTTGTTCTTATCTTCTTTCTGAAATAAAAAATATTCTTACTTTAGATAGACACTTGTCTATTTTTCTTACTTTTATTATTGCTTGTTATTATATAGTGCGATGTTTTGGTATCCGCCCCGTCGGCCCTCGTACTATCTATGATTCGGATGTCGTATATATTATCTTTTTATAACTATTTGATTCATTTATTGTTTATGACAATTATGCCGACCAATGTGACATAGATTTTATTTATGTAGGAGGTAGTTGAATCAGAAATTCCAACCGACTCTATTATCAAGAGGTTAAATTTGGTTGAAGAAAAAAACAATTGCTTGAAGAAAAAATAAAAAAAAATTGATTTCGTTGTTGACCCCGATGGGCACCTGCTCGTACAGGGAGGAAAACAACGGTTGTTAAGATCCACGATGATTGTTAGATCATAAGAGGATAGCATAGAAACAAATCTCCCGATCAATCCGTTTGCAAACGGATATGAACGCCTGCAGCATCAAGTGAAGATGTTTCTTCTCCTCTCCTTTTGAGATGCTTCGGTTACTTGCTGCGAAGACGAACAATACAATCAGGATGAACAGCAAATTAAACATAGACGAATGAAAAAACCATCGGCATCATGGCTCGATAGACGCCATGCCCCACGGTGGACGCCAAGTGTCGTGGGAACGATTCCGACAATAATAAGGGATAAGGTAAAGGAGCATGATCTATCAAGATGCAAAGGGGTGACACGGTGATTTTAGCGAGTTCATGCCTCTCACGGTGGAGATAACAACCCTACATCTCGTGCTCCGGAGAGGCTTTGTTTTATCTTAGTATGTATCCGAAGATTACGATGTATATGTGGGAGAGAGAAGAACGGATCTTCATGCATAAACAAGTCCTGAGACTAATGGCGAGAGAGAGAGCTAGGAGAAGAAGAATGAGAACTTGCCTAGTCTAGTGGTGGGGGGTGGCTTATATCGAGTGCGCCACCCCCTCAATCCTTATGTTACATGGTGGAGCATCAATGTTATAACGCCTGCCCACTACAAAACCGTCATGCTGATTATTGGTCTTCGCATATCCGAGTGAGTTACACGGCGGAGTGAAATGAGCTCGTCGAGTGGAGTGCCGTGCTCCGAGTGGTTGTTGCTGTCCGAGTGACTTTCAAGTTGCAGTACATCTGGACGGGGATCTGGCCCAGCGGCCCAGTACAAAGTGTACAATGTCCATGAATAGGATCTTTAGGTCAGGTATGTTACCCTACCCTCACTACATGTCCTCGTCACCCAATACTATCCATTTAGTAGATAAATGATTTCCCTATTTCCCTCATTGTTGCTACTCCCTCTCTCTCAGTTTACAGGGCATGCGCGTATCTCTAGGTTGTAAATTTGACCAACCTAATACAAGTCATATATTACAATTAATATACCAATATAAACTTTAGATGTTCTATTTTCAAATGGTCTAATTTTTGTGTTATATAATTTATATTATGTTAATAAAATTGACAGTCTAGGTATACACGTAGGACTTATAAACTGAGACGGAGGTAGTACTAGCCTACGGGAGCTATTTCTCGATTAAAGCAAGATGTACGAGCTTTTCCATGCACGCTACAATAATGGGTTGACACATTTTCTATTATTTGTTTGCTTGCTCGCTCCCTCGCATTATTTCGCTTTGTTCGCTTCATTTTCTTTTCTTTTTCGTTATTCTTTTGTTTCTTCAGTTTTATTTGATTCATACTCGGATTCTCTTTCTTTGTATTTTGAACGGTTTTCTCCGTTCTTTATCGGTGTTCACTGGTTTTCTTCTTTCTTTCTTTTTTCTTCAATTTTCATTAGTCCTTTTGTTTCTTTCTTAGTTTTACCCGGTTTTTTCTCGAATATCCAATTCGGCTCTCAAGCTCATATACACCTTGTGAACGCTCCAAAAAACTACTTGAAAAACTCAAACAATTCCAAGTTTTTTTATGCTAAAAGATGCTTGAGTGCGTGATGTCCGTGCCAAATTTTAGCTCATTCGGACATCTGAGTTGCTCTCACCCAAAAAACAAAATCAGGTCCGAACAAACAATAAACTTTTTCATAGACCCCAAATTTGTCAGTTTTTGCACAGACATCACAAACTTAAGGATCTTTCACCACCAAAAAATTTAGTCTTTTTTGAATTTTTTATTATTTTTCACGACTTTTGTCGTGGACTTGACACGACAGATGCCCTAGCGAAAGGACTTAGGTGTGGAGCCATCGCAGCTAGGTTAGCTTTAAGGGGTTAAAATGGGACAAAGGACACATGATGTTTACCCAGGTTCGGCCCCTCTCAACGAGGTAAAAGCCTACTCCTGCTTTAGGTTGTATTGCTTGGGTTTCGATTACCAGGGAGCGAATATGCTTGACCAAGCTCTCCATTGATTGTTACTTGAGTTAACTCGCTATCGGGTCACTCCTTTTATATACACAGGTTGATGCCCGGCGG